TCAATAGTGGTCAGTTATGCATAGAAAGAGGTCTTCATTATATTTAATTAATATACCAGAATTTTACCAATAATCCAAGCTTGAAAAGGAGTTAAAAATGCATTTAGTTAAAGGAACATGTTTATCTATTTCATGACTCGCTATCTGAACTACTGTGCACGCATATCATTACAAAAATAAAAAAATCACATTGTTTGATAAAGTAGTAATTAAGGATATGAGTTCGGCTTTTGTTTTTTTTAAGGTAAAACCTCCAACTTTTTCTGGAAAGTTTATGGTTATTGTCCTCCTCAAACACACTAATCTCCATGTGAATGGAACACTTCTTTTGAGATGACAAATCTCAAATCTATAATATTTATCATCATTGGAGAGACAGTTTTTCCCAAAACAGGAAGGAAATGTTGTTAGCTTTTTTGGGGTTTGTTTTGTTTTGTTTCTGATTGTAGATGAAAGAAGAATGATGACATCTTGATCAGTCTAATGCACACAGGTAGGTTACACTGACAAGACAGCTTGCTTTAGTCAGCCTGCACCAGGCCCATGTGAAGTGACGTCAGTGAGTATTAGTCATCTGTCAAAGACTGCGGGCCCTTATCAGCCAATTATAGATACAACGAACTTTATATTACACCCACAAGTGGCAAAGCTACAAAGGACTTAAACCACAGTACAATGGTGATACTTTTTATAGACAAAACATAAAAGTAGACAAAATTCTGTCCTGAATTGCATCATATTTCCATTTAGCAATTCTAGTAAACACTTCATAACATCATTGGTTTTCCTTAAAATTTTAGGGACCTCATACGCTCCTTAGTTTTAAGAGGTTTCTTTTTTATTCACAACAAATCCACTGATGTAATCTAATTTAAACACATGAAATCCCATGGAAGCAACTGACATGCACATACAGAGCAGATAAATCTAGCTTATTTTACTGGACTGGCTTGAGGATGGTCCTGAATCCCACCACTTCAGTGCAACCGCAACACTTGCTTTTCATAGCAAAACCTATGGAGGTAATAATGTCCATGGATGGAGGTCAGAGGGTCATGGAGAATAAGACACTGGAGATGGTAAGATGGGAGCCTGATAAAATGACATCTCATTGCTTCTTCAGATTCCTGCCGGAATTTTAGGGCTGTCAATCTACAAGCTACCAAGGAGCCTTAAGACTCCCTTCCTGTCCCGATACCGAGTCATGATCATCCATCAGGTGGGGCAAACTCCAACACATAAGGCTGAATGGGTAGTGTACACTACATACCGATGCATACGCACACTTTCACATCCAGCTTGGCAAGCATGAGCTTCCAGCAGCGCAGAGGAGATAGAGGTGGAGCTAACAAGGGAGTACAGTTCTATCTACTCCTGGTAATTCTGTGGAGGGAACACCGAGCAAGCCCACAGCAGAGGCACAGACAATACTTCATAAGACAATTTTCATTGACTGATATACTAATTAACTTCTGCAGGTTCCAATCACCCTTGGAAAAGTTGTCAATCCCATATATATAGAGTAGTTTGGCAAGGTTGTTGATGTAGAGCTGTTAACATATGAAACGGGCCAGCCACTAATAAGAACAACAAGTTAAAATTCAGTTTAACAACTATTTTAATTTATGAATGAAAAACAGCTTGATCACTTACTCTTTAGTTTGAGATAATTGATCAATAGACTTTCTCATAGAGTGATGCTTGTGTTTCATGTGCAGATCTTGGCTATAGTCTAAATCCGGTAGACATTTACTATCACCAAATCTCTGTGCTCACAATTTACCATGTGAATAATCTTTTTTTTTTTTTAACATGTAGAGTTAAATGTCTTGGTAAAACCTAACAGAAAATTTCACTGTGTACATTCTATATGAAATTACTTAAGTAAAATATACTTCTTGTGAAAGGATGTCGAATGAAATGCTGAAATATTTGTGTCCTACTTGAGTGTGGTTCCTGGGGAACAGCTGTTTGAACTTCAGAGGAACAAATTTTATTTGGTAGCTTGTGAAGAGTTGAGTAGGATGCCAAGAGAGGATCTTGTGAGGCAATGCTTATAAAGACACGTTTCAACTTATTAAAAAACCCCTCTCTCAGAGATAGAAACATCAGCTTTTATCAGAAATATGTTTTCCGGAGCGCATCTGCAGAAGTTCAGAAAATCTATTCATAAGATTAGGCTCAAGTGATCTGTTTCAGAGAGCAGCTCTACATTTTGCAGTTCAGTATGGCTGAAATTCCTCGAGAACATTTACTTTCTTTCAGCAGTTCCTTTAACGAAACTTCCAAACCTTCTATGACACAAATATTTTGGAGGACTTACTAAGCAGATGCAGGGTACACAGTGATTTCTAGTCCCTGCATTGGAGGAAGAAGTATCATAGTCACGGCCTCCTATTTGGAGAGAAGAGAGCAATTCTGAAGTTCAGCTAGGACCGTACAGCACATCAGTCAGTGGGACGTGCATAGCTAAGGCTTGAAACACTGCACATCACCTTGCCCATGTGGCTCTGTAGCCTCTGCAGTCAGCCAGTCTCCTTTCATTAACTGGTTCTACGCCTTGCAAAGCAGCATGATGTGGAGGTGATTTGTATTGCAGTAGCAATATTCTTGGCAGACTTATGACCTTTACCCAGTGGAACCAGTGGAAAATGCATCTAGCTGAGTCTTCTTATTGACTGCATTTCCATTATCTTCACAGGTGCTTTCTTTCCTGGCTTGTTCTTTTATCTTATTATGGACAGAAGTTACATTTACTGGACAATAGCTTCCACATTGCTCTCTTTTTATTTCCCAGAAAATATCACTACTACACTTTTTAAAGTTACTTGAGACCTGTCAAATTCTTCATCACTCTTTACACCAAACTATTTGTTGTTTCAGTAAGTGCATCATGTATCTGCATGCCATGACATTTATATCCACTCATCTACATAGGA